ATCATGTCTTAATACTAGCTTGCTAGTATTTGCTGATGTTTTTATATCTACCTTCATTGGGGTATTGGCCTATAGTTTTGTTATATCTTTTCTGACTCTGTTATCAGAGTAATTCTATTTTCATGAAATATGTTTTAAAATGCTCCCTCTTCAGTTATCTAGAAAATTTGGAAGAATGACACTAGCTTACCTTTAAATGTTTGATAAAACTGTGGTGGCACACAGCTGTGGTAGCATTCAAGAGGCTGAAGCGGGAGGATTTTTTGAGTTTGAGGGCAGCCTGAGCTACATGGTGAATTTAAGGGTAGCCTGGAATACATAGTGAGACTTACTCCAAAAAGAAATAAATACTAAATGTTCGGTAGAATTCACCAGTGAAGCCATCAGCACCTGGGGTTTTTCTTTGATAGAAACTGTTTATTACTGATTGCCTCCTTACTTGTTATTGATCTGTCCTGATTTTCTATTTTTTTTTTTTTACGATTCTATCTTGGTATATTATGTTTCTAGAAATTTATCCGTTTCTCCTGTCTTACCTAGTTAACATACAATTGTTCATAACATTCTCAAAACCTTTTTTACTTCTACAGTGTTGTCTCATTTCTGATTATATTTGCATTTTCCCTTACAGTGTATCAGTTTTATCTAAAAAAATCCAACTTCAGTTTCACTGTTTTATTCCTGTTTTTCAGTTTTTTATTTCTACTTTAATCTTATTATTTCCTGCTGCCTAACTTTTTGCTGCATTCCCTAAGTTTTTGATGCTGTGTTTTCATTTGTCATAACACTTTCTGGTTTCCCTTTTGATTTCTACTTTTACTCATTGGCTGTTCAAGAGTATGTTAGTTTCCACATATTTGTGAGTTTTTCAATTTTTCTTTTTTATTGTAGTTTGAATCTGTTGTGGTTGGAAAAGATTTTTGGTATGATTTGAGTGTTAAATTTGTTAAGACAATTTATGACATCACATGAGATCTGCCTTGGAGAATATTCTGTGTGTATTTGGGAATATGTATTCTGCTGTTTTGTGAAAAGTTCTATACATGTCTATGCCTATAAATGTTCTACATATTTGTAGTCTGTTTTAGAGCTTGACTTTTTAAAAAGTTCGATGGTATGAAATTTGAAAATATTTTATAATCAAATCCATTAGTATTTTATGGTTTCTGAATTTTGTCTTAGGAAAATTTTTTTCATCAGAAGCTATAAAATTGGGGCTGGGGATTTAGCTCAGTGGCATAAGTGCCTGCCTTGCAAGCAGGCAGTCGTGAGTTCGACCCCCGGTACCGATGAAAAGGAAAAAGACCAAAAAAAAAAAAAAGTTATAAAATTATTTCCTATATTTTCTTTTAGTAGTCTTATGTATTCTTTTAAAACTTTCTGATTGTTAAACCATTAGAATTTTATATGTATGCATTTGTCCAAATGTAGAGACAACCATCCCAACAAAATCACCTTGTCAAATTTTACTTAAGAGCAAAAATCTTGGAATTGCATTTATAAGATAATTTGAGATTCATGTGGGGTTTACTTCCTGAACCGATCCATAGTTGTGAACTCCATAGTTGTTTGGTTTTACAAACGCTCGAGAAAAAGCAGAAAGGAAAAAGGCCTTTATTGCGGGCACCTGAGAGCTGCAAAGGAGACCAAGTACCCTCTGGAAGAGTCAGGAAAAATCCCACGGGCTTTATTTGGAGTTGACAGGGGCGGAGTTAAAGGGGCGGTGGAGTGGTCTGTTGACAGCTGATTGGAGGAGCATTGGCACGCGGGAAAAGCCAGAGGTTTAACTTCTGGGTTCTAGAGTAGACCGCGGAAAGGCGCCGTCCAGCGCCGTGTTAGCCCGCAAGGAGGAAACACCTGTCAGTCACATAGGTGATAATGGTGTCCTTATGAGTAGTGACACACTGGAAAAATTTGGAACAGAATTTTTATATTTTGTAGCAAGTCTACAATTCTAGCATTTATTGATTAGGGCTCTAAGCTATCAGTATAAAATAAGTAGCATATTTAGAGTCTAGTGAAAAGAGTATATTGTATATGTAAACATAATGTGTGATAACTGAGATGATAAATATTTGCTCAGAATATTCCTGAAAAACTAAAGAATGGCACCCATACACACAGGTTAAATAAGACCTAGGTCTAAGTCTTAGGCTGTCAGGTTAGGGATGCTTTACTCAGGGTAGATAGTAGTGAGCCAGTTCCTTAAGGACTGGTAGGTGTTAGCTGGATAAAGGGTGGCATTTTAGAGTGAACATGTAAGAGGGAGTAGAAAGTTTGAACCAGGTTCTCAGGTGCAGTTAGAAAGGTCTCAGTTACAGATGTCTTTTCAACAGACATTTAGTCTGAAATGTAAGTGAACCTGGGTAGGGACTCAGTATCCTGATAAGAGATCCTTGCTTCTGTGCCAGGCTAACAATTTGGTGTTTGTACTCCAGGCAATCAGCAAATACTGAAAGATTGTGAGTGGAGGGTTAATGATAAGTAGATTTGTGGGTGAGAAAGATCACACAAGTAGATAAAGATGACATGAAGGGTGGGTTAGACGGGGCTGAACTGATGCAGGAGTGACGTGGTTCTTCGGCAGTGATGTAGGAAAAGTTTGATAGGGGTTAGAAGGAAGCAGAGAGACACGTGAAAAATATGTAACAATGGCAAGCCTTGCTGAGTACCTGTGCGAGGAGAAAGGCAGTAATTAACACCCAGACCTGAGTTTGGATGAGTGGCTTGGTCACCAGATTACAGGCGAGGGGCAAGTTTGGAGGATGTGGGGAGCAGTGGAGTGAGAAGTCCAAGACAGAAGGCAGAATTTCACTCATCTGAGGCAGGTGCCAATGGAGATGCCAGCTGGCAGCTGATCCCAAGCTCAGGAGGCCGTGAAGACCAGGTCTTGATTTGTTGGTCTGGTATATTTGGTAGGTATTATAGACAGGAGGGGATATGAAAACCAACAGAAAGCATATAGATTAGAAAGAAAAATAAGCCAAAGTGCAAATCTTAGGGGCCATCACATTTAATGAACAAATAATAATAGCAAGAACTAATAATGTGGTACTTACTCTTTTTACATGGAGTAGGGTTTTGTTTTTTGAGACAGTCTTGCCATGTGCAGTTCAGGCTGACCTTGAACTCGCTTTGTAGCCCACGCTGGCCTTGAACCTGCTGCCATTCTTCTGCCTCAGGCTCCTGAGTGCTAGCATTACAGTTGTACACTACTGTTCCTGGCTGCGTGGATTACTTTTAAGCTTCATAGCAGTGCTAAGGGCAAGGTACCATTTATTATCCCTGTTTTTACAAATAAGGAAACAGGCCACATGTCAGTGGAGGATCTGAAAGCCTGGCTCCAGAGCCCAAGGCCTAAGTTATTACACTCCATTGCCTGGGAAGCAAGTAGATAAAGATGACAGAGTCTGTGGGGAGCTAGTGGGGTGCCTCAAAAGCAGGGAAGTGAAGAGCTGTCTGATACCAAGAAGCTTAGCACTGCACTGAACTGAGGCTGGGGAAAAGTGTGTTTAGACTTGCAGGTGCATAGAGGCCTCTGAAGAGCAGGTTAGGGCCCCACACTGGGTTTAGTGGAAGTGGGGAGGTGAAGAAGTAAGGGGGTGTGGACCTGGGTGAAGGGCTGGTGAGGAAGGAAAAGAACCAGTGGCTGCAGTGCAAGCACGCTTGTTCTTACCTGGGAAAAGGAGCCCACTTACAGGGCAGGTTGGGGAAGCCAGGGAGGAGGGGATGCAAGAGCCCTGGAAAGCAGCGGGGCAAAGCCTAGGAGAGAGTGGGGACCACAGTTCACTCCCCCTCGCCACACTCCCATTTATGTGCTGTGTTCCCATTCGGCCCTGACCTCACCTGTACCGAGGCAAATCCTCCTAAACTCCTGCAGGCCTTGGCTTTCTCCGTTCACCCTCGCAAGGTCTGTCCTCAGATCTCTTCATGTTACTGTACCTCTGAGGCATGCTCATTTGTCTCTGTCTGAAAATTTTCAGATCAGTTGTCCCGCCTCCCAATGTCTTGTCATCTCCTCTTATGGCTTACGATGACCTTAGCCTCAGCATGCCCACCACTGGACTCATTTGAGGTTCCCTCAGCTCCCCTTTCATCTGCAACCACACCCCCATCGGCACATATGCAGTTCTCTTTGTTCGTGAGTTTTTGCTTTTGTGCCCACCCCTCCACAAGAATCATTCCGTAACCCTGCGTCCCCCATGGCACTCTTCATCACTTTATTTTTACCCACTACAAGGAATTGTCACTGACTGTTTCCTTACGGGTGTAAATCACCAGAGGGCAGCGTGTGTGTCTTAATTATAAAAAAGATAATCAAATCAAAAGTCATGTAAGAAGTTGAAATCTTGAAAACTAGAACACATTGTTGGGAATGGACTGAAGGAAGCGAGAGTAGATGCTGACCTGTGCACAGGTGAGGGCATTCAGGAAGTGCAGGGAGCTAGGCTCACAATTAGTAAGGCAGACGGTTTACCAGGACTGGGGGAACAGGACATTTGTTTGATGCTAGGGTTTGAGTAGCAGTTAATGGGGAGAGAGCTGGGCAGGATGGCCCACAGCTGTAATCCCAGCTGCTCAGGAGCCTGAGGCACGGGAATCACAAAGTTCAACTCTGGGTAGTAACTCAGCTCAAAATAAAAAATGAAAGGGTTAGAGATGTAGTTCAGTGCAGAGCCCCTGGGTTCATCCGTGTACTGGGTAGAGAGGGGAAAGAGGAGCTGTCCTGTTGTGAGGGCTGAAACATGGGATGGGCGTCTCACAGACTGATGTCTATCCTACTCCTGATGTCACCCGGATTTTGTGTCTTTACCACTAACCATATGTGCAGGTTTCTGCAAGATGGTTTAGAGCTACACCCTATTTTCACCCCTAAGCCATTAAGTTATTCCGTTTGTCTGTGGTCAGAACAAAACCCTGGTCTGGCAGCTGAGATATGCTGTATGTTTTCCGGCTTAATGTCATGTTTCTCAAACACTTACACATGAAAAAAATAAAAATTGAGATAAAAATCTTGTGCTTTATTTTAGAGTGAAATGCCCATATTTCTTTCAATAATAAAATGGAAATATGCTTATTTGAAAGTTTGTTGTAAACATGACCAAGTTGTGAACCGTAAAAATTCTTTAGGCTGCCAAGTTTTGATGATAAAATAACAGTTACCTCTTTTCAACAAAAGAATTTTCTGAATCTTGCTTCTCTTATCAAACATTTGAGACGGATCCACTTAAGAGCACAGTGCTTTACATTAAGCAGGTATAGGGGCACATGCACACCGGAGCTACGTACAATACTCTAAGAGAGAAGGTGGGTTACTGTTTGTACAAGTAGTGGTCACATCTGCCTATGGCTGGGTCTTGTCATGGCAATGGTAAGCGAAGTGTTCAGACCCTACTTGATGGGATGAGAAGACAGCTGAGAACCACTCAAACGTCTTCTTTAGGAGATGATCAGCTGCCGAACTCATGCAAAACAAAGTGGTCTCCCTTGCTCCGCTGGATGGACATACATGCTCTGGGCAGTTCGGAGCCTTGCACTGCTGCCTCTGCTGTTGGGAACATGCTGTTCTTCCTGTACAGGTAAATATACTCTGCTTCTTCAGCAGCCGTATCCAGCTTTCCTCACAAGTGTCACTAAGGATGGCTGCAGTTCACATTGTGAATATCTAGCCTTCTGCTGGACAAAGGAAGCACTTGTTATTAAAATAGCCCAGTAGCGCTCCAGAAGGTGTTACTACCCTAAATTCCCTGTGCTAGGTGCAGTCCATGGAGTTCTTCTATTGTTTTCTTAAAATAAATATAGTTGAAAACTCCTAGGCTTCAGCTGATTTTTCAGATAAGGACTGAAGCAGGTCCTTATAGACAGCCGAGTTCATGAACCGGGGGTACGAGTCTCTGTGCATGAGTGTGTAAATCTGAAGCTGAGCATCGTCAAATATGTGCGGGGATGGCTCGCCCATGTTTCTGTTGATGATTTCCCTCACTCGCGAGTCCAAGCTGACCTGTCCACAGAAGCAAGACGAGCGCATCAGACACTTCTCTTTATAAACCTGCCCCCACTTCCCACAGCTGATTTTGGTTTTTGAAAACCCCCAAACCTAACAAGTTATCCAAAAATCCAAACTGCCAAAAAGAACTGAAAAGCATAACAGAGAGATCTCAAGCTTCAGAGCCACATGCACTCCCTGGAGAAGCAATTTCTAAGCCTCAAGCCTGAGGATTCAGACAGTGAGTTTGGAGAAGGGGCAGACCCTGCATTTCTTACAAGTTTCACAGGTTCTAGGAATGGTGGCAGGGAGCACACCGCCTTAGAAAACCACAGCGTTGTTTTGGGTCTTTAAAGTGAGTGCGCACACACATCCTAGCTAATTTCGCAGTAATGTAAGGGCTAAAACCTCACATTACTACGATTTCCCCAGCTAGAAAAAGGCTGCAGAGTTCTGGGAACGAGCACCTGCCAGCTGAAGGGTGGGGCACGTGTGTGGAGTAGAAGTGCTAAAGTCACAGGACCTGAGCACCACAGGACCAGTGATGCTTGTGTTTGAATCCCAGCTGTCGTATCCATATCAAGTCCATACGAACTCCTACTCATGAGCGCATCTCATAAAGTGAGATGATGATTTTTGCTGAGAGTTTAATAGAAATAAACTGCTTGTGATTCACTTTGTGCTCTGGATGTCAGTGTTTTTGCTGATGTTTTGCTTCTCCCTTATTAGACTGTCTCATCAACCAATGCGAACTACTGGGCTCAGACTCCACCTGTAGGACAGCAGCAAGAATCCAAACCAAAGCTGTCACAGTAAACTCCATGTCTTCTGACAGCACATTAGCTGGCCATGATAGCTCCAGCGCCGTGCGTTGCTTATGTTATATAAATTAATATAAAGTGGGCATCTGATTAGCTGGCATTGCATATGGTACTAACCACCAACTGGAAAGACAATTAGTTGAGACATTTACTTAAGTTTTGTCATCAGCAAGCCACCTTTTCAGCTGCATGAATCCTTCATCCCCTTGAAGGCCCCTGTTGCTTTCCTGCAGATGGTCTCTTCAAGCCCAGTATGTTTAAAACAGATCCCCTGTGTAGCTTGTGAAGGAATGTCACCATCCGTCCCCGCCCAGCTCAGCGTCCTGCTTATTCTTTACTGTCCCACTAACTCTGCATCAGGTGCAGCATTCTCCCAGTACGTCTTTATTACTCAAATCTGTCACTTCTTCCTGCTGTCTAGGACTCTTGCTCACTGTCTCCAAGCCCCTCTCCCAGAGCCAGCCCAGGCCTCTCCTGTCACTCTCCAGGGTCCAGCCAGCTGCTCCTTCTAAAGTGCAGACCCCATTCTGACATTCCAGTTGCAGCTCTGCCTCACACTGGACTGTTGGTGCTCTCAAGATCAAGTTCAAGGCTCACCAGTTCCAAGGGTAAGCCTGTGAGGCCTCTGGTGCTCTTCTTCCACTCATTCCCAGCTTTCTCACTGTTCCTCCCCAAAGCTGTCCTGCAAATACCTTGTTTTGATCCTTCTGTGTGGGAACCCTGTTCCTGTGTCCTGCCTAACTCTGCTTACCTGGAGGTCTTGGCTTAGAGCTCACTCCCTCCTCACACCCTGCAGCCTGGAGTCCTTTGCCAGCTCCCCAGAGGGAGGTAAAGGATCCCCTGTCCCCGAGTTTATCTTGCGGCAGCACTCACCATACAGTTTCTCACAGATTTTGCTGTGGGGCACTGTGAACCCCTCGGGGGACTGCATTCAAAGTGACCTGAATGCTATGATGGGAGCAGAGCAGTGTTCTGTATCTTGGGGTAGCTGAAACCATGCAGGTAAAAATGAACAAACACAGAGGGGCTAGCTTTCCTAACAGTTCCAGGAGAAGACCTTCTATGAGCACAAACCTCTTTCGGAGAAAGAATAGAAATGTAGTCTTCATATATTATCCTCGCTTTCTCTTCAATAATGTTTTTATTAGCTTCCTTTTTCAGTTCCTCACAGGCCATCCAGAAAAGCATATTTTCTTCACTGAATTCCGTGCGGAGGAATTGTCGGAAAGCGTTTCTCCCGGCAGGAGTGACCATTAAGTTGTCGAATGATCGGGCCCAGGCGCTGACCTCCTCCAGAGTAGGGGCTGGGCTGAAGGGGGCCAAAAGAGGGGGGCAAGGGGGGTCGTTAATGGTAGTTCAGCAGACTCGCATCACTAGAGACGTTATCTTTCCCTCCCTGGCAGATTTTGTGGTTAAAACACCTGTAAACCAAGTTGCGAGAATACTACTAGAAGTATACTTGGTTGCATCTAGACAGTTCTGGCAGTGTTTTTAAATTTGAAAAATAAAAAAAACCTTACAACAACCTGACCTAGATCCCTTGGTTATTTATGTCAGAGCCAATTCTTAATACTAAGCCTCCACAGCAAGAGCAAAGCTTATTTAATATTTTTTTTAAAAAAATCATAACATTCGAGGAACAGAAGAACATGTGTAAAATAAACACAATTTACGCATGGGAGCAGGTTTTTATATGAAAGGTCACAACGAAATGAGCTCTTGGGAATGCAGCACTGACGGGTTTACCCTTCACAAAGCTGGGCTTGTCTCCCCACAGCCCGTCCTGTGAGGACGGGTACACTTGGCTTATGGCTATTTGGGGTTATATTTTACTTCTTTTTAAACTATACTGAGATCAGAAAGAACGTTCTGCCTAATAGTGATCCTTAAATATATTTCTTCTTTCCCCTCTAGTTTTCATACATGTATGTTCATACTCATGAAGAATGTATTTGTCCTTTGATTCAGGACCCTGAGCCTCAGAACTGAAAATAGATTTCCATTGATTTAAACTACCCAGGTTGGGATGCTTTGTTTTGGCAGTTGTAGCAAAGTAACTAATAATTGCTGGTTTAGTTTAGCTCCAGGACTGTTCCAAGCCTTTATTTTTTTCCTGACTATCTTAGCAGCCTCCTAGTTAGGAATTTGCTCCAAGTGTCTGATGATCACCTTCATGGGTGTAACCTGTTCCCAGTCTCATCATATTGTTGACCCTCCCTAAGTATATATTCCCATTTTGATTTCTAATGAAATTTTAATTTCCACTTTCATTCCTAATTTTATTTCATTAGCTTTCCTCATAGTTTTTGGACTTAGCAAAAAATAATATATTTCGAAGTCTTTTTAGAGAATCAGCTTTTGCTTTGTTTTCATTATATCTGTTTATTAGTTTCTGTGCCTACACATAATTTTTATTTTTTTCTTTAGGCTTCTTATGGGGAACACAACTCAGTAATGATGAGGTGTTCTTACAAACATTTAGGGTTATGTATTCTTTCTCTACTTACTGCATCCTTCTGCCTCAGCCTCCCCATGTGCCGGGATTACAGGTGTGCACTGTCATTCCCACGTAAAGTTTTTATTTTTTTAACTTTATGATTTGCTCTTTGAGGAGCTACATGGAAGTGATTTTAAAATATTAAACATGAAGATTTTTAGGTTAGGAATCTTAAAAAGTTCTGACTTTGATTTTTAATTGCATTGGATCAGAAAGAACAGTCTGTTTAATAATGATCTTAAAAATATATGAAGATGCTTCATGCAGTGATGCTTTTTTGGTTATTATAAATAGTTTATGTATGCTTGAGAAGGATAGGTCTTTTCCAATGGCTGGATGCAGGTTTCTATACAACTTGCCTAATTTGTTTTTCTGGGACGGGTCTTGCTCTGTAGCCCAGGATGGTCCTGAACGAGATCTCAGTGATTTCCTTGCCTCAGCCTCCCCAGTGCTGGGATTACAGGCATGCAGCACCAGGCTGCTTTACCTTTTCCATCTCTTGGAAACATCTACAGCTGAGAGAAGAATGTGAAAATCTTACGTTATGATAGCAGATTTGAAAATTCTTTGCTTTAGTGGTTTTTGTTTTTTTACATTTTGGGACGATTTTAATTAATTATATGTAAGTTGTTATAACTGACTAGTGAACTACACCCTTAAATATTTTAGTAGTGAGTCTATCTGTGAAGTGGTTTTTAAAAAATTGTTTGTTTTTTTGAAAAAAAAAATACATCTTTACTTTTTGAGCCAGGGTCTCACTGTGTAGGCCAGGCTGGCCTTGAATTCTTGATCCTCCTGCCTCAGCCTCCCAGGTGCTGGGATTACAGGGATGTCTATTGCACCTGGTGCTTTTAAGGTTTTATAAAACTTTTGTTTGATATTAATATTGGGAAGTAGTAGAGAACAGTGGACAGAAGCAGACTGTAGAGGTGGACTGAATTTAGACTTTGCTACTACCGTTTCTGGAGGATTCCCACCAGCTGATGTGACACTTTCTTGCAAACCAGGAAAAGGTGTCTCTTTTCCTGGTTTTTGCTGGTAGGAATCAGCTTTTATATACATCAGCAGGATGCACAGAAACTACATTTGCCCCCTGGCCAGGTGCTAAGGGGAAGAGAATCATGCACAGATGCAGGCAACAGTCTTTGAGATCAGGGACAAATTACCTGATCCTTTGAGATCCTCACAGTACCTACTTTAAGGAGTTAAGGTGAAGATTACATTAACATTTATAAAGGTCTTAGTTTTGGGTACACGGTAAATAGTATGTGTTAATTATCATTATTCTGGCTAGTCAAGCTATTTGTCTGATACATTTTTATTTTTACCCTATTTTCCATGTTTGTTTTGGGCTCATCTCTGCTACCTTTCTGCCTGTGACTGTATGGTAATTCAGTTCTGTGTTTATTTTAGCTTCTCAGTATCACACTCTATTTTATACCAGCAGTAATTATTTAGATCTACTTATACTTATGTTAATTTCTTTGCTCAGCATTTCTTCTTACAATTCACATTTTCCATTTTGGGATCTTCTTTTTTTTTGATCAAACTCACGACCACGCACTTGCAAGGCAGGCGCTTATGCTGCTGAGCTAAATCCCCAGCGACGGACCATTTTCTTTCTTCCTGGAAATTCTCCTTCAGACTTCTTGGCACAGGTAATGGTGGTAAACTCTCGGTTTCTGTTTACCTGCAGGTGTCTTTGTTTCTCCCTTCCTCCTGAGATAGAGTTTGGCTGGATACAGAATCCTAGGTGGACACTGTGTTTGTACAGCATTTAATGATTCCAGAATTTCAGCTAGGAAGTCGGCTCAGTCTTATTATCTATGTTTAGGGTACTTGTCTTCTCTTTATAGCGAGCTCATCACCTCAGCCTTCATTTCTTTATCTTTTATATTTCAACCCTCTTGTCTCGGGGTTGTCTTTTGGAAACCTTCAGATCCACAAGCCAGCTCTTTACTCTCCAGAGGTTTTTTTCTTCCCATTTATTTTATTTATTTCTGCAGTGTTGGGGACTGAACCCACGGCCTCATGCAGGCTAGGCAAGCATTTTGCTACTGAACTATACCCCGTCTCTTCTCAGTTTCTGAGACACAGTTCTGCTAAACTGGCCTGCTCTGCTTACATTTGCAGCCCTCCTGCCTCAGCCTCCTGAGTAGCTGGGATTACAGGCATTGACTGCCTTGCCCATCTAACCCTGGGTTAGTTTTACAAAGGTTAATTCTATTGGAGAAGTTTTTTCTTTTCTGAGACAGGGTCTCACTATGTAATCCAGGCAGTCCTCGAACTCACAGTGACAAAAGGATCGATTTATATTTGTGATTAACAATGGGATTAGAATAATGGAACTTTTCTCTCTCTCTCTCCCTTCCTTCCTTCTTTCCCAGTCCTGGAGCTTGAGCCAATGGCCTTTGTATTAAACCCCTTTCTTGGCCTGTTTTTATTTTTTAGAGACGGGTTCTCCCTAAGACACTGAGTTGCCCAGGCTGAGCTCAAACTTACAGTCTTTCTGCCTCAGCCTCTCAGAGTACTGGGATTAGAGGTGTGTGTCACTTTGCCCAATTTGAAATTAGCTTCCCTTAATCCCATTTAACACAATGAATTTTCTCTGCTCAGGGAAAATTACACCACACTTAGCTTCAATGCTATTGAATTGTAGAAAAAATATGCAAGTTCAATTGAAATATAAAATGCAAAGAAAAAGGTTGGTATTTTTGTTAGTGAATGAATTAAAGTGCCACATTTCACCTTTCTTCACAGGGTGGGAAGTTTATTCTGAGTTCGTGGGTAGCTCTTGTGGGTCGCTGTTCTTGGTTTCTAACGGTGAGGCTGTAAGAAGAAGATAAGATCAGTCTGTATCAAGGAAAGTATTTTTAATATTTTAACGAGAATTTTAGAGCAAGTAAAATGTCTTTTTCTTTTTTTAAAACATGATTCTGATTGGTTTTCTTTTTTTTCTGATTGGTTTTCTTAAGAAAATCAAAATTCGACAATAGGGTATCAATCGAATTAGCATAAAGGAAGAAGGGTTATTTTGTCTCATTTTGGATTTCTGGTCTGTGATTGGCTGGCTCTATTGTTTAGACTCTGTAGCAAGGAACCAATCACAGGAGGGGTGACTGGCCTAGGAAGAGTGCTCCTATCACAAGCAAGTAAAAAGAGAAAGGAGCTGGTGGCCCCCCCTTTGAAGGCTCCCAGCGGCTAAGGACCATTCACAAGGAAGGCCTAGCTCTCCCATGTTTCTACCACCTCCCAATAGCGCCACCCTGTGGCCACGAATTAAACACAGGTTTCTTGGCAACACCCAAGATCCAAACTATAGATGTATTAGAAAAATGAATTTATTTATAACACTGTGGCCTATAGCAATTGAAAAAAGATTATAGATTATTATGGTTGCCCGATATGGTGGCGCACACCTGACATCGCAGAGCTTGGAAGAGTGAGACACTAGAATTACCATAATATTGAGGCCAGCTTGAACTACATAGGGAAATTTAAAAAAAAAAAAAAAAAGCTTAACTTGGGTGCAGAAAATACTGAGAAAAAAAGACCGTCAGGAATGTTTTGAGTTTTTATTTCATTTTCTGTGTCTTAAAAACATTACATACTATGTTTTGTTTCTAGTCAAAATGGAGCTTTTCACATTGATGCATGTAGAAAAGTATTAGAGAAAAATCAGTCAAAACCTACTACTGTATCGCTGAACAAAATTTGTTTCTTAGATTTTGTTTTTTTGGTACCAGGGATCGAACTCATGACCTTGCACTTCCCTGGGCAGGTGCTTAAACTGCTAAGCTAAACCCCCAACCCAGAGATTTCCTCTGTATTGTTTTTTGTTTTTTGGGTTTTTTTGGTACCAGGGATTGAATTCAGGACCTCATGCTCAAGGCACGCGCTTATGCCGCTGAGCTAAACCGTCAGCCCCATTTCTTAGATTTTTTTGTATATGTTTCTGTAAACTTATTTCAAGCATTTTTGTTATTGTAAATGGAATTTTACATTTACCTTTTTCAAAGTGGTTATTATTTGTACATAAGAAGGCTACAGGTTTCTTAATGGGTTTACAAGCTATGCTGTATATACCATAAAGCCTACTTTGTTTGACATACACAGTTCAGTGGATTTCAGGGTTATACTTAAAAGCTTGAACTATCATCACCACTCTCTAGAATATTTCCATGGCCACCTAAAGAAACTCCATACTTGTTAGAATCACTGCCATGGTAACACCCATGTCTCCCCACTGCACCAGGCCTACACAAACACTGATGATCTGCCTCCAGTCCCCACAGATTTTCCAGTTCTGAATCATAAATTATGTGGTCTCTTGTGATTTGCACCTTCCAGCAAGGGTCATGTTTCCAGTTTACTTGTACTGTATGTAGCATACACAGTACTTGCTTTTCTGGTTGAATAATCTCACATTGTATGATTTACGTTATATCACTGCACATTGTACCACATGTTGTTTATCCATTCACCAATGGTGGATAGTTTTTGTTGTTTGCACAATTTGGCTGCATGAGTGATGCTGCTGTGGACACTCATGTGTAGTTTGCATGGACTTACTGTTTTGTTTCTCTTAGGGTAGGAGCCTAAGGGTAGAATCTGCAGCATATGGTAAGTATTTGTAGCATTCTGAGGAACTCTCACATTTTTCCTCAAAGCAGCGGTATCATTTTACACTCCCTTCAGCAGTATCTGCAAGACCCAATTCCCCTACATCCTTGGTAATAGACAGGGTTACTGTCTTTTTGATTCTGCCCTCCCAAGTGAACATGAAATGTCACTTCATTGTGGCTGGCTTTGCATTTATTTTGCTAATGACTAATAATATTGAGTATCTTTTCAAGTATTTACCTGTTGCACATCTTGACGGTGTGTCCTGCTATTCTTTGATGATTTTTAAAGCTATTTGTGTTTGTTTGTTTGTTTGGTACTGAGGATCAAACACATGACCTTGCTCTCACCAGGTAGGCGCTTACAATGCCCAGCTAAGTTCCCAGCCCTGTTTTTTTAATTTTTGAAATGTCAAGATTGATTGATTGATTGATTAATTTTTTGCTTTTTTGAGACACAGTCTCACTATGCAGTTCAGGCTGGACTTGAGCTCACTTTGTAGCCCAGGCTGGTCTCGAACTCACAATCATTCTACTGCTTCAGTCTCCTGAGTGCTGGGATTACAGGTGTGTGCCACCATGCCCAGCTAAATGTAGGGTTTTTAAAATATACTTTAGAAGCTGGGCATAGTGGTGCACTCCTATACTCTCAGCACTCAGGAGGCTGAGGCAAGAGGATTGTTGCAAATTCAAAACCAGCCATGGCTACAAAGTGAGCCCAAAGCCAGCCTGAACTGTGTAGCAAGACCCTATGTCAAAAAGACCAAAGAAACAAAAACAAAAACAGAAACAAAACATATATATATATATATATATATATATATATATATATATATTTTAGATACAGGTCCCAAAGACAATTGTAATGTCAGTTTCTGTTCTACTGTACCAGATTCTTCCATTTGCTTCAGCTCTAGCAACAACTCAAAAACAAAAACAGTTCTCTTGGGCCAGGGGATTTAGCTCAGCAGCATAAGCACCTGCCTGGCAAGCGCGAGGTTGTGAGTTTGATCCCTGGTGCCACAAAAAAAACAAAAACAAAAACACCCAAAAACAATTCTCTTGAGCGTTCCAGGTAGACTTTCATCTTCTACAAATAGGGAAAATTTTATTTCTTTTTTTTTTCTCCACATTCTTAGGTCACTAATTGTTTTGCTGTGTAATTGCATTGGCTGATACATAAAATACAATGTCAAACAATGTTTTCAGTGTTTTTATCATTTTAAAAGTGGCAATTTTGGGGGCCAAAAATGGGTGCTAAAGATTGGACCTCATATGACCATGTATTTTTCCACTGAACTATATTTCTGGTCCCTAAAAAATGTATTTTTTTCATTGATGACTGGAGTTTTCTTTATCTTGTTATTGCTACTATATTAATGCTTCTATTTATTTTATTATGTCTTTAACATTTCCATTCCATTTTATAAATTCCTGAAAGCCTATATCTACTTTATGAATTTTCACTGTATATGTATAGCTTTATTTTTCTTTAAAGGTAAAAACCATTAAAAATGCAAGAACCCTTTTTAGTTTCTTTCATGATGTCAAGACTAAAAAGTTTAAATAAATAATAGTTGCATTCTTTAAAATGCAACAAAACAAAACAAAACACTTGAGGAACACTGGGTGTCACCCTCCCTGTACCGGCATCAACACCGCCTGACTTCTGAGGCTTCTTTTCAATGCCAAGTACCGCTGCACAGAGGTACTAAGGTGTGGAAAAGCAAAGAGAAAAGGGATTAGGGATCTGACACAAGATGCCAAGAGACCAGGAGCTGCACGGGAGCTAAATAATGCAAAATTTGCTTAAAGACTTGACATTTTTCCTACCTCATCAGGCTGATAAAGTAGAAATATTTTTGAAAAAAGAAGTATTTTTTAAGGTGACAATAAATCTAAGGAGACTGAAGAATATATTTTTGGTAAAAGGTTTGTTTATCGAGGTCTACAGTGATTGCTAAAAAGAAAGAGAAAATGTCCAGAGAAGCCAACGTGGTTGCTTGCCATGGTTTGGAAATGTTCAGGAAAGATCATGCTTAGATACATTTTTAATTATAAGGCAGGAAAAACTTCTCCAACCTTCTACAAATAAAAAAAGCTGTTTTCAAAACAGTAACAGTCTGTATGTTCTCTAGCTTATAGATCAATACCAGAAGGCTGTGGAGACAGACTGAGAAAGATGTCAAAGGGCTCAGGAAACATTTTGCTGTTTATCTTTCATGAAAATTGGCTTCACTAGACGCGAAGGTGCATGCTTGTAGCCCCAGCACACAGGAGGCTGAGGCAGGAACACTGCTGCAAGTTCAAGGCCAGCCTGAGCTACAAAGTGAGTCTAAGCCACCCTAAACCGCACAGGGAAACACTGTCTAAAAAGAAAAGAGAAAGAAAGAAAGAAAGTTAGTTGACTGCACTGTGTAAACCTACATAGATAAATCTCAAAAGAATGCTGAGTTAAAAAATCAGGGAAAGTGAACTGCCTTCCACTGATAGGAAAACAACCACACTATTTTTTTTTAACTTTTTGTTCAAAATGGTATTTTTATTTCTCATTTTATTCTTGCTAGGTAGTTCAGGCTAGCCTTGAGTTTACTATGTGGTAAAGATGGCATCAAACTCCTGGGAATCCCTGCTGTACCCTCCCTTTGAGGGCTGAGCGATGGGTGTGCACTGCCACACCCGGCTTTGTATTTTTGCACTAATTATAAATGTTATCAATTCTGAAAGAAAATTGGCTTATATTTTTTCTAAGACCTTAGTGTTTAAATTTGTCCATTATCCACATGAGATTATCTGCTTACATGCTGAACACAGAATTCAATGCCAGATAGCACATTTGACCCCTTTTGTGTCTATGCTGATACTTACTGTCTGTGATTCCCCTTCGGGTTCACTTTTTTTCCCTGAAGCCCTAAGAGCCTTTCTTACTTCTTTTAGGGAGGTCTGTGACTAGTAATTCCAGCATGCTTGGGAACGTCCTCTTTTACCCACGCTCCTAAATTACAGTTTGAGTTTTCAGGTGCAACTTTGAAGACAGTACTTTTGCTTTTTTTTTTTTATTGGTACCGGGGATGGAACTCAGGACTGCCTGCTTGCAAGGCAGGTGCTTATGATGCTGAGCTAAATCCCCAGCCCTAGTACTTTTGCTTCTCATAAACAAATGGAAGGTGCTGTGTTGGTGGTGGTGACGGGAAGCAGGTGCGGCTCTCATCTCCTCTACCCAGTGACATCAGAACTAGCAGCAGACATTGCTCTGGGGCCTGTCCCCACCTGCCAGCCTTGCGTCATCAGGACGACGGGCCCTGCCCGAGTCAGCAGAAATGTCAGCTGCAGCCAAAGACACTGAGACTGCCTCGCCTCCTTGTTTATCTCTCAGAAGATGACTAATCAGCACTGATCTACAGGCAGAGTGAAGGATGGAGAAGGGCCTGATGGTTGGCTGGGTGCCTTCCCCATGCAGGGCAGCCCCTAGACATGCGTGCTGTCTCGGTGGACTCCTGCGCCTCCCTTGGAGCTTCTGCTGGAGACAGCAGGATTCTCAGGGCCAGAGTGCTTAGCCCGAGACAGTCCCACCCAGCCCACTTCTGCCTCCTGTCTGAGATCCATCCTGCACCAGTGTTATGAGCCCATCAGTCCCCGGAATGTTTCACTGCTTGGCCCTGTCCACCAGACTGGGATTTCCTGGGAAGTAAGAAAAGCCCTTAAATCAGGCAGGAGGAGCAGACCAAACCTTCTCGGGTGTTTATTTCTGAGCTCCAGCATCCTCCCCAGGGACCAGTTCCAGTACTTCAGTATCTCTGTTCTCCATCGGTCTCAAGGTCAGGTTTTCTTCTCCAAAGGGTCCTGAGATCCTGGTCTAACCTAGAGCCAAGCCTTGTACATCTGCAAGGACTTAGCTGCCTGCCACGGCACACAAGTTTGTCTGCTCTGTGGGCTTTTCATAGCCACGGTTTTAGAGATTGTGATTTCCAGGAGCAGAGTCTGCCCGTTTCTCTAAGCTTTAGCAGGGGCTCAGTCATGTATGTTAGTTAAAACAATGCTTGTGTGTCTGCCTCCACCAACCAGTAAGTTAGACTGTGCTTTTAGATTTTTTTGTCTCTATTTTAAGCACACATTTTGACATTTCTCTATTAAGAAACAAAATTAAGATGGAAGCAGCAGGAGGTAAAATCCTGGCCTCATAAACCCTAACCTGTCAGATCCATCTTAGGGCTGGGGGCAGCCATACAAGATTTATGTTACTCATTTATTTTTAAAACAGGGTCTTGTATCGCAGGCTGGCTTCAAATTCATGGCAATCTTCCTGCCTTGGCCTCCCTGGTGCTGGGATTACCAGCGTGCACCCCCACATCCAGTTTAAAACCCATTTTAAATCCCAACTCCCCTACAAAACTTTTAAATCAGAAGCATGCTTTTCTAACCAGTTATACAGAGTTTCTGTGCAGTTTGTCAGCCCAAATAAGAACGTGATCATAATAGCCTTATACATGTTCCTTAGTTGTCTAACCTATGGTAGCCTGAGTTTTAGTATTTGAATATAAATTCCTTGAGACTTTAACAAAGGTAACTTATTACTGTTGGTTAAAAAAAATTTTTTTTTTTAGTATTGTGTGTATAGCAGTTGCCTTAAAAAACACTGACTAAGCGGATGCTATTCAAGGGTGCATGCCCCAGTGAGCAGCAGACTAATCTGTTATAAAAGAGTCTGGGCCTTACCACGAGCAGCTACAACAGCAGCACCAGCAGAAACAGCACGCATTGGAGCCCCGACTGCCCGCTCCTGGTTGGGCCGTGGCGGTGTCCCCTGGAGCGTCCAGTGAGGCCGATGCCTGCCTTCTGCGCATCTCCATGCATTCGGATCCCATCGGCTGCCACCGGAAAGGAAAGAGAGGGATAGGATGGGCTGTGGAGTTATGCAGAGGCCCTAGGGATCTGGCTGTGTAGAGGCACTGTAACTGTGTCTAGGTCGTTTTTGCTATTTCTGGTGAAGATGGTGCTTAGATTTACAATCCAGTAATTTATCACAGTACTAGCATCTGTCAGGCTGGGTGACACATTCCAGCCATAAAATGCCTAACAAACTCCTGCCCTGGGGCAGTCAGCTGGTGGAGACAGACAAATCCAGTCACTGAGGACGCTGCAGGGTGCCACAGCAGGGCCAGGGCGTTTCCCTTTTTGGTCCCTCTGGATGCAGCCACAGGGGAGCAGTTGGAGCCACAGTTTAATTACAGCTGCCCGGGAGGCCAGGGCGCAGGGATACAGGAATGGCTGAGGCGGCCACGCCTAGAGATGGCCCTGCTGGCAAGGCCCTCTGAAAGGTCAGGGGGTGGGCAGCTCTGGGAGGTTGAGGGTCTGAGGCCAGAGCCTGGCACCACTGGGGAGGGGAACTGAGTGCTGTGCCCGTGAAGCTGAGTGCACAGCCCGGGCCTCAGTGAGTGCTCAGTGGTTTATTCCCAGGAGCAAGGCCCTGAGCCGGATCTGCCCTACTATCTCACGGGTGGTCTCTCCTGCCCATCTCTGTGGTGGTGAGCACGGGGCTCACAAGAACCATGGCCCACAGCACCTGTCCTTTTTGTTGAGGATGACGAGGTGGCCTGAAGAAGCCAGGCACACAAGGACCACTAAAAAGAAGCTGCTGACCCTTGACACTATTACTGAGTTCTTGGCGGAGCTAACTGTAAGCAGGTGTCAAATGCACATTAAAGAAACTTAGGTAGGACTTTGAAATTAAATTCCAGATGTATTATTCTACTCTGAATTTAGATCTGTATATTCTACCAGCTGTGACCTAACCCTAGATGCTATTGGAGTCTTAGCTACTCTAATCTATTATTACTATTTTACCGAGCCAGGAATTGAACCTAGGGCCTTCACAATGAGCTGCATCTAGCCCTTGTTAGACCTCATGCTTGCCAGGCAGGCACTTATGCCGCTGAGCTAAATCCCCAGCCCTTGTTACAATGTTTTGAGACAGGGTCTCTAAGTCACTGAATTGCTAGACACAAGCATTGTTTTACAATAGCTCCACCTGGTACTCCTCCTGCCTGCGCCTCTGAGACTGCTGGGATTACAGATGCCATCAGCTCCTTTATTTTTATTTTAAGAGATGAGGTCTTGCGTCCTCCCCAGCTGGCTCAATCTGTCTTCCTGCCTCAGCCTCCCAGGACCTGCTGCTACATGTGTGCACCACCCACCAGAAATCTTTTGACTTTATTATATATTTTTAAAAATTGGGTAGGTAATACTCTCTTTGTTTATTTAAAAGTTTTCAGTTTTTGGTTTTTAGACATAGGGAGCTATTTTTACCTGTTTGTTATTGTCTTAACCTGCTTTTCAATTTTGGAATCAGCTTTGCCAAGATCCCAAAGAAATCATAGTGGCATTTTGATTAGAGTTGCATGAATTTACAGATTTCTCACTGAAGAATGACCTCTGAGTTTCTTTTCATTAGCATGGCACCTGAGTTCCAGGACAGCAACAGAGACCCTTAAAGGTTTTACTGTCACTCCCTTCCAGGGACGCAGTGGTCACAGGACTCAGAAAGCAGGCACAGCGCCTAGCCTGGCTTGAGCAGGTGAGGCTCTGGGGGCAGGCTGGCTCCTCAGCCCAAAGGTGGCAGCACAGATGTCTGCCAAAGTCCCAGCCGCGCTTTCTGGCAGCACTGGGGGGCAGCCCTGAGAGCGGGAGTTCTGAGCCCCTTTCACGCTGGCACTAGCGGAGCGCAAACCTGGGGTTCCAGGAGGCTTAGACGGACAATGGTTCACTTCATTCAAGGACATTGAAGTCCAAGGACAGGGCAGCACAGTCTCCAAGTGAAGATGTTTTGAACAAAGTTTGCTCCAGGTAGCTATTTGCCAAGAGATGCTGATGCAACCTGCCTCATTAAAACAAAGGCAACACCCGACTGCTTCCTGAAGATTGTGATACATACCGTTCAGTGGTTTCAAGGGACTCCTATGTTACTGTATTATTTATTTACTTGGTTTTTTGAGACAGGGTCTTGATGTATGGTTCAGGCTGCCCCTGAACTCACTATGTCGTCCAGGTTGGCCTTGAACTTGCAGAAATCTTTCTGCCTAAGCCCCCTGAGTGCTGGATTACAGATGTACACCACTATGCCTGGTTTGGAACTCCCATTTTCTTTCTTTCTTTGTTTCTTTCTTTTTTGGTACTGGGGATCGAACTCACGACCTACTGCTTACAAGGCAGGTGCTTATGCCACTGAGCTAAATCCCCAGGCCCCCTCCCTCGGTTTTTAAAATGCAGGCAGGAATTTAGGAGTATGGGAAGGTTAAGGGTGCTGTGCTGAATTACCCTAGAGTTCTAGTAGTCGATCCACTTGGATTTTCTAGTTTGACAGTCAGAGCGGCTATAAATAATCCCATTTGTCTCTTTGCTTCATGCATGTTTCCAAGGCACTGCCTACCTGCTGTTCTTTTTACTTGTGCTTTTGAAATGAAATCTTGGTAACTTGCTAAGCTCCCTCAGCAGGACTTGAACTTGTAATTATCCTGTTTCCAGTTCCCCAAGATATACACTTGGCATTCTTGGCATTGACTACCACACACAGCCAAAATTAATTATTTGGGCTTTATTTTTATTTATTTATTTGTTTTTTTTGAGGCAGAGTCTCACTATGCAGTTCAGGCAGACCTTGAACTTACTATGTAGCCTAGACTGGCCTCAAACTAATGGCAATCCTCCTGTCTCAGCCTCCCTGGGCTCAAAATCAATTATTTGAAGTCCCTGAAAATTGACATAGATACAGTGCAGATAAACTTACATGCAATAAATAGAAAGTCTACGGCATTTAAACCAAGGGCCACTCCCATTTTTCCACACTCAGCTCTGTGGCTAAAATCTTTACTGCAGGTGGGCGTAACCAAAGATTAGAGTCAGAGCCCTCACTACACAGGGCTGCAGAGGCTCTGGGAGATGTGGCCGGCAGGAGTGGGGCTCCCCTGTGGCTCCTACTCTCCGCATCCAGGATAGAATCTGTACCTTGCTGGCAGGGCAGAGACTCCAGAGCAGGAGGAGCCAGCTAAGAAAGACCTTGGGCTGCCCTTGACCTCACTGCTGAATCTACTCCAGAGGAGGGTGTAGCTGCAGGTCAGCAAGCTGTATGGGGCTGAGGAGTTGAGATTCATTCAGCCTGCAGGACAAAGACCCATGAAGCTTTGCCTGAGGGCCCACTGTGTATGAATGGAACATTTCACAGGTAAGGGCATTGTCAGGAGCACTGGAGACTCTAGTGGCCAGCAGGTAAGGAATCAGTAGCTCCATAAGCTAGCAGCAACAAGCAAAATGGCCAGTCAGGTCACAGACAACAGAACTAGCAAGGGGAAAAGAGACAGGCAGAGTCTGGAGGAATCCAGGTGCAGGGTTTCCCAGGCTCCCTCTCTCTCATGAGGAGTCACACACAAAACATGTTCCCTAGCAACAATTATTCAGCAGAGTGTGTGCTCTCTCTTCTCATGCAGCCCGCTAAGGCAGGCAGCACCCAGTGTTTTGATGGCAAGGTGGTCAGCTAGCATTCTGGCCAGCACATACCAAAATCCCAGAACTTCAAAACAAGTATGTATCCAGCAGATAGATGTCCTATTGATTGTACAGCACTCTAGGTACAGAGAACCACAGTTCTCATTTAAAACACTTTACCAGGTCCCAGTTTACCAGCCAACAGTTAATATTGCAGGACTGGAAAGATTACAAGGATAGCAATCTAAGCTTGCTACATTCATTAATTTTGACACTGGGGAGGAAAAATATTTGAAGAAATAATGGCTATAGACTTCCCAAATTTGATGAAAATTATTAATCTATATAACCAACGGGTGCAATCAACTTGAAGTAGTATAAAAATAAGAGATTCACATCCAGACACACCATAGTCAAAACGTGAAAGGCAAAGATACAGAGAAAAATCTTAAAGCAGTAAAAGAGAAACGATTCATCGGAGCAAGTAAATCCCAAGAAGATTAACTGCTGATTTCTTGTTACAAATAAGATCAGGTAAAGATAAAAGACAGCATGATTACATGTGCATCTTTTCTTACTTGATTTTAAAAGGAATTGCATAAAACAGTATCTATAAAATTATACTGTTGGACTAATAACATAAAAAGGTGATATATTTGACAATAACAGAGAGAAGGTACAAAGGAAAATAGCTACATTGCAGTAAGAAAATGACAATGGAAGAGAACTCAAACCCAGAGAGAGACAGACAGACAGAGAGAGGGAAGGGAGGATGGAGGGAGGGAGAGAGAGAGAGAGAGGGAGGAGGAGGAAGAGGAGAAAAAGATGGTAAATAAAGTTAATTTTTTTAAAAACAAGAAAATTCTATACATTTCTCTTATTTTTATTAGATATTTAAAAGGCAGAATTGTATAAAGCAATAATTATAATGATGTCATATTCTCCACACTAAGCCCTAATGTATTTGGAGGTGACGCCTCTTGAAGTGTTGGTCACGGAAGGCGCTAGTGCTCTTGTAAAAGGGCTTTGATCCTCTTTTTTTCAGTCATGTAAGGGTACAGTAGCAGACAGCAGTCTGGAAGCCAGGAATCACCCAATCTTCCAGCACCAACAGTCAATCTGCAATCACTTAGATGTCCTGGTCTCCAGAAGTGTAAGCAATACATTCCTTGTTGAAGACCACCAGGCTATCATATTTTATACCATAGCTGAAAGTAACAAACAGTTGCATAGAAAGTGCTGTTTCTATATCAAGTGGGACAAAAAAGGGTAGATCACAACTAGAAATATCACAGTAAAACTTCAGAACATCAAAGATTAAAAGAGAAGTGAAGAAACTACTACAGCAGAGATTCCTACAAAAGGAATGATCATCAGACCAATGACCAGA